CATAATGTCCTCCAAGTTCATCCACATTATGCGGTGTTTTGCAGATTCTACATTATTCTTTAGCGTTGCATAGTATTCCATTGTGTGAATGTACCATAGTTTGGTTATCCATTCCTCAGTTGTTGGACATCTAGGTTGTTTCCAAGTTTTGGCTATTGTAAATAGTCAGGGCCCTTTTCTTGAAAGACCTTGGCTCTTTCCCATTTCCATGGGTCCATACTTGTCTTAGTTTCTTAGTGCTGCTGTAACAGAAACACCACAAGTGGGTGGCTTTAACACAGAGAAATTTATTGTCTCACAGGTTAGGAAGCTTGAAGTCCAGATTGAGACACTGGCTCTAGGAGAAGGTACTTTCTGTTGTCTCTGGGGAAAGAGTTCTCCGTTCCGTAGACTAGCATTCCTTGGTTCTTTGGTGAACACTGTGTGGCATCTGTGTTCTCTGTGCTTCCTTCTCCCTGTACCTAACCTGCTTTATCTATGTCAAAAATGATTAGGTTTAAGGCACACTCTACACTATTATGGCCTCGTCAGCATAACAAACAAGACCCTATTCCCAAATGAGATTATATCCACAGTTACAGAGATTAGGATTGGAACACACATTTTGGGGGAACATAATTCAATCCATAACAGTGCTTTACACTGATTTGCTGTCTTTTCAGTAAAGTGAAGGATTACAAAAGGACACAAGCAATGTGAGGCCAGAGATGACATCTTTTTCGTCTTTATATATACAACACCCTACCAATTTAGGGCATTCCAGAAGACCTGAGTATTTCTGAAAAGAAATAGGATAATTGCTGTAAAAATAATAAATGGAGCATGCGGTTTGGCAGTGCAGGCAGACTCTGAGTTACGAAGGAGCTCCATTCCTAACTGTCTTGAAGAATTTGTACGTCAGAATAGGTGCATGTGGTTCTTATTTAGCCTTACTTTAGTGCTTTGAGTTCTGATAGTGTAGTTCCTAAGGCATTTGACTGCTAACCAGAAGGCTGGCAGTTCAAACCCACCAACCACTTCTCGGAAGGAAGGTTGGGCAGTCTACTACATAGTGATACCACCTCAGAAACCCAAGGAGGGGTTGCTATGAGTCAGATCCAGCTTGACAGCAGTGAGTTAGTGCTTTGAGAGGAGCTCTGGTGGTACTGTGGAAGGCTAAAGTGGAAGGCCAAAGGGGTCCCTCACTGTAAATTGCAGAACTTTAACACACTAGTAGGCATGATTAAAGTAGCTGTGGTAGTTAAGTTTGTGTGTCAACTTGGCTGGGCCTGGTTGAGTGGCTGGGCAGCTGGATGCAGTTATTCCCCATGGTAAGACTGGTAATTAACTCCATGGTGGAATGTATTGAAGCAGCTGAGTAGCTGCTTTAGGGATATAGTCTGCTTCCCATATATAAGAAGCAGCTTTGGGAATGGTCTCTAGTTTATGGCATGATTGAACCCTCCTTGTAATTGAGTCATCGTTCAGCAGCCTGCCGTGCTCTACTGATCTTGGGACTTAGAGTGGACTTGAATGAATGGCCTGCATGTGATTTGGTGACATTGGGACTGTGCCTTCTTACTTGTCAACCTTGGGTTTGTCAGCCTCAGCAGCCAGCAGCTGTCTGAGTGAAGAAAAGCCTCTAGCTTCAGTGGGCCAGGAGCAGGAGACAGAGCTGAAGCTCAAGGTTGAAGGGCTTTTATCCAGCCCTTAGAACCTGGCACTTTGAACTTGGACTTAAAGCCTCCAAACTGTGAGAGAATAAACTGTTTGTTCAAGCCATCCCATTTGTGGTACATTCTTGTCAGAGCGGCACTAGATAACCAAAACAGTAGCCATTAATCATAGTAACTAACTTGCTATTTTTCCCTCCCTTTTGCTTTCTTTTAAGTAAATAGAATAGCCAACCTCTTGACAGATGCTGAGTTCTGTTTGTTATTCTCAGTTATACCTTCTTTTAAGCATAACCTTCTCCCATGACTGGTCTAGGCTGAGAACTGTAGCCTATGAAGCAAGATGACCCTGGGAAGAGGGCATTGAGTCTGGAGTAAAGAGGGAAGAGAAGAACAAAGGCATTCCTAGCAGTCCGAGGGATCTTCAACCCCCTTCCCATCTCCCTATATAATCATGTTTATCCCTTGCTTGGGAGACAGACATTTTAGAGAAGTGATTCTGTCTCCTTGGGTATCAATACTCAACCTTTTGCTTTCCTGCTTCAACTTGTTGTGATCATTGATTCTTCACAACAGGGGGTAAGGACCTTGTTGTTCCTACAACAGTGTGGTGGTTAAAACATTGGGCTGCTAACCAAAAGGTTGACAGTTTGACCCCACTAGCCACTCCATGGGGAGCTCTGGTAGCGTAGTGCCTAAGGCAATTGACTGCTAACCAGAAGGCTGGCAGTTCAAACCCACCAGCCACTCCTCAGAAGGGAGGCTGGACAATCTACTTCCATAGTGATACTGCCTCAGCAACCCAAGGAGGAGTTGCTATGAGTCGGGTCCGACTCAACGGCATATTACAACAACAACAACAAGCCACTCCATAGGAGAAAGATGAGGCAGTCTGCTTCTGTAAAGATTTATAGTCTTGGAAACCCTATGGGGAGGTTCTGCTTTGTCCTATAGGGTTGCTATGAGTTGGAATCAATACTGAGGTGCAATCAATGGTTAGTTTTAGTGCTTCGATCCTTTTCAATGATTTAAAAGCTGTATGCGCAACAAGTGAAGGTAACAGTAACGAAGAATTTGTTGCGAGTGGGGGTGGGGTCAGTCATTTCAAAGTAAAGGCAAATGTATATAACATTAAAGCAGGGCTTCAAAACAGCACTACCCTGCTCAAAGATGGCAGATGACTACACTACTTCGTTTGTGTGTGGCTTTTCCCGGTCCTGCTAAGAATCCAGTCTATGCATCAGGCTCTGGAAAGGGCTCTCTGCATCTTCCAAAGTTCCCATTCTAGGGTGTCAACCCATAATTTTTCCATTCTGGTTAGTGTGACAAATAATCAAAAC